CACATTTGCATTCATATAGAGATTGTAAACTGCCATATTTGCATTCATATAGAGATTGTAAACTGCCACATTTGCATTCATATAGATTGTAAATCTGTCACATTTGCATTCATATAGAGATTGTAAACTGCTACATTTGCATTCATATAGAGATTGTAAACTGCTACATTTGCATTCATATAGAGATTGTAAACTGTCACATTTGCATTCATATAGAGAATGTAAACAGCCACATTTACATTCATATAGACATTGTAAACTGACAGTCACCTGTACTCATTTTGAGACTTTAACAACTGTCGCACGTGTACTCTTAGCACAGAATTTAAAACGAGACAGTTTATATTACAACTGCAATTCGAAACTGTTGACGAAAATTCTTTAACTTGTGTTAATACATTGTAATGCAGGGTACGTGGGAATAAGTATAATCAGAGGTACATTACTTGGGGTTTGCAACTCGCATAGTACTGTATGGTGACATCATGTCAAGATCCCATTCAAGTCTCTTCTCGTAGATAGCGAGACTGAGGCTACGACCTTCTGACATGACGCATATCAATGTTCAAGGTTTGTAATGAAAAAAATAAACTTTTCTTGTCACTATCATAGTGAAAAATGTAATACATCGAAAATGTACAGAAAATATAGTTCTCGTAATCCGTCATATCGTGGGCAGCTATTTTGATCCACCTGGACATCCCAGTATCCTAGTTACCTCGGGCATGCGCATTCGCATTTTTTCTGAGTTGGAACGCTTATGCGAGAGCGAGATTGTGACGGGATCTTGGTATCATGTCACCGTAGTTACAAACCCCAAGTAATGTACCTCTGGTATAATTTAGGGTATTAGTATTTCAATTTGAAAGCACACATAGAACAATGTTTACAGTATGGTTACAACAATTATTTAAAAAAAAAGATCAAACATGTAATTTCACTACACTGCATTCCATACACACACTCCCGTATATACATATACTTCCAAATGAGATTCAAGTGGGAGGAGCTTCAATAAGGCAGGGCTCAGATAATGTGGAAGCTGCAGATGTCTAAAATGAGATTTGCTAGCTGATCGGGAGTTGAATTCCTTCCATCATGTTCACTCATGGCCATAGTAACATGACACTGCAGGCAGTGATTCGACTGACAATATGTAATTATTACATTACATTTACATTTTAGGATAGGGTAAGATATGCAGTTGAACGTCTCTATTATAAAAAAAAAACACATGTAGCTGGTATCATAAGAGTAGGAATGTAAAGACTATGACTGGAATCACATAGACAAGCACCAATAAATAATAGATTTAATGGTCTATTATACTCCACCAACAAAAACGAATACATTTGGCCGTTCTCAATGTCACCGTTCACTTCAGATGGTGAGCATTAATACATGGAAAGGAGTAACAATTTGTCATGTGACCTGTGCTACTAAATAGGAAGATGGACGTGCCCTAATACATTTCCCCAATTTTGGAAAACGTTTAACATAATATACGTACCCATTGCATCTTTAAGATGTGATAAAAATGACCTCATTTCATGTAATGGTATATTACTGAAACTATTGCCGAGAAAAATTATCAACTTTTCTTTTCTGATAGTCTTCAAATGGCATAAACCTTCAATATAATTCCCTGCAAATGGTTTGACTTCTAAACCATTATTGAACTGCGCAAGTAATCCTCTAGACGTATCCTCTACAAACTCTTTGAAATAAAAATAACAATGCTATTAATAAAATATACGTCTCCAGTTAGAACCACTTGCAATCAGCGACATAATGGACGAAAATACCAAACTAAACCAGTTATTTCACACAATGGTATAAATAAAACAAGCAAACATTCTCGGATGATTAAAAATTTTGCGTCAGATGGCCATAGCGTGTCAGTGATTACAAATAAGCGTGTACCCATGAGCCTTTGCGTTTTTAGCGTGTGTTGTTATTGTCGCTTAAGGTAGAAGCCTACTCATAAATTAAAAAACCCAGAATTTATTCATTTTGCAATAAATTGTACTCCAATGCAATATAAGGATATTGACCTAAAAAAAGTTGTATTTTAGTGGAAAGTCGCCATTTTGACACAATTATAACACTTTTACCACAGGTTCCTATGGCAGAGATATTATGCAATATCTCAAAATCTAGCCTGGTGACATAGGCTGAAAAAAATCGTATATTGTTAATGATGGAGTACCTTTTGTTGTTCTGAATTATTAAAAAAATCTGGGTTTTAAACAGTGTCAAAAAATCCATTTTTTCTTTAACATTATGTTCTATGGAACTGTTCTAAAAATAGCAATTTTTAAGAAATATTGGAACACGTTTCCAAGAAGCATAACTGTAACACACAAAATAATGCTATTTCATTATACCATGGAACATTAGCTTCATGATTGTACATAATAAACTAATGAACATTGTCATGCGATTTGTGACCAATTTTGTCAAAAATTATGACTAGGCTTCTACCTTAATACTCAATTCCTGCGCGTGCGCAGGTGACGTCCCTACCGCGTTAAACGGCGGTGGTTTTCGCTACGCGTGTTGTTCGTTACGAGACTCATAAAGACGTGCAGAACGCGTGAATAAAATACTACTACGTTGTTTGTTGACATGAAATTCGAACACGCGCTGCGAGATTATCCCAGCCCTTTGAGGTTTATCAATACAGTTTCATGTCAGCTTTTTGCTTAGTTAGTTCGAATTAGTCACAGTTTATGGTTCAACTCCGATCCAGGATTCAGTTGTCCGTAACCGCAATTCTGTTTTCACATGTAACCTTGTATATAGTCAGTAATCTATTGTATCAGCTATTAAAGTGGGAGGGTCGTCACCTGCGCACGCGCGGGAATTGAGTCCCAAGCGACGATAACAACACACGCTAAAACGCAAAAGATTGTGGGTAGACGCTTGTTTGTAAACAATAACACACTATGGCCATCTGACGCATGCGCAGGTGACGACTCCCCCCGCTTTAAGACATTCACGAAACTGTAGCCACATACGAACCTTTAGCCACGTCTATTGGTATATATGTCAATTGTTTGTTCTTCTGCAACAGTGCTGATATTATATGTGTAGTCTTGGTTGAACTTCCTGCACCAAGTTCACATAACACAACTTCATTTCCCACATTAGAGATGATTTCAACTGCAAAGAAAATGACAATTATAGTCAAGATCAGTGAATAACATTACGCCTGTTCGTTTTCGACATTATGAAAACAATTTCTAGTGTTCATGTTGGAAAGTGCAGTATAACAGTTAACAAGTAGAATCACATTTAGGTTGGTGTTTAAATATTAGTTGTTGAACTAGCTATATATTTTGTAATTTCATTCAGCTGCTTTCAGTCACAATTCAAAATAAATAATAAGTTCAATAATGAGTGAATATTTTGTTCAGTACTATAATACTAACTGGTGGGATATATCGGGATTAAGTCAGGACCAATTCCTCTTACAAAAATACTTTGCTTATGTATGCATACTAATGGAAATAAAAAAAAGTAGAATCTGCGGGTAGGAAATGAAGAAAAAAAACGTAAGAGAATATCCTAGTTAACATGCTGCGATCAGAACAGGGTGTCGGCCGCTGGTTTGATATGTTCATAAAATTACCCTTTCAATATTTGGTACGCTTTCTGTTTACTCTGTTTTATTACAGATAGAAATACTTGTATGGGGAGTGGCAATGTCAAAACAACTGAACAAACTGATTTCGCTGCCATTGTGATAAAAACGTTATTTGTCACCACGTGCCGCTGTATTCTCCTCCCAATACAATTATTGTTCGGGAAATGTTAGTTTGTTTTTCTTTTCCATAAGTACCATCAGATAGATTCCTTTGACCCCGGTGACCCCACTCTGACCGAGTATCAATCAATCTTTGTCTACAGCGAAAAAAAGTCACTATGAAAGCAGTTAAGATATAGAAATACGTTCAGATAAGACAAGAATTCTAGGAATTAATCTCACTTCTAAATAAGAATCACTCAGTCTGTTAGTTGTCGGTGACTAATCCTAAACTTCCTAGACGTCATTTCCGTTTAGCGAAGACAAGGGTGTGATTGTTTACTTACTCGCACGTTTACTAGTGTGTTTTCATACTAGTTTTTATGTTAATGAGCAGAATGACAGACAAGAACGTTATCCAATCAAACTAAATCGACCTTTAAACTATATCTAGTTAACTTTTGTACCTGAAGACTTCACTTTTCTCCAAGTTCTCGATCGTCAATCATAACAAACGAATTACTATTTATAACGTTCCGTACAAATTATTCTAATAGGTGAGAAGTAGCCAGCGTGTAGCCTTATGTCTCCTGGGTTACAGTGAAGTGCGATCTGATGTTACCTCATTATGCAGCACGCACGCCCCCACTCCTTTTCTGTATGCGTTCAGTGATGTCACTGCACATCATGAATAAATAATAGCAACAGATTCGCTGCAAATAAGACCAGTCTGTGGTGGTTTCGCGTTCATCCCACCTTTTGCAAAACTATTTTTTCTAATTTGTTTAACTGAAAAAAAAATCACCACAGCTGGGCCAGTCTAGCCTCTACATTATACCGTGTGGGATCGCATAGGCTAATTGCGTATCTTAAGCAGTGAGATCTGATTGGGCGCGCCTCGAAACAAGGCGCCCAATCAGCTTGGACGTACCTAATCATAAAAAAAATTCCACTTTCTGTTTTTGTCGCTATGAAGACATCCTTCCCACACAAAACTGCGTCGATTGCCTGTACCTGATGGGGCTTGAGGGCACCAACACCGAAAACTTTCGCAATTTTATCATCACAAATATCACGATTCATGGGCGCCGCCATTTTGTTTAAAATGAAACGCAAAAAGAGGGATTTGTAACACGCAAACTGATTGGACAATGATTAGCTGCAACTGACTACTGGGGGCGCTGTTAGAATACGCATATTTGATGGTCGTTCTGCCAAGGTCTGTTCAGAGGCTTGGGCGAATAAACTTAGACCTTGGCTAGCGAAGATGGGTCCAAAGTAGCTGGCCGATAATGCATATGAACAGGTACAAGAAAGTACCTCTGATCTTAAAGCGCGGTGGTCGTCGCGCAGCGCGTGTTCGAATTTCATGTGAATAAACAATGCATTTTACACGCGTTGTATATACGTCGCTATGAGTTCCATATCGAACAGGACGCGGCACGACGACTTCCGCCCTTTAATTTTACAGGGAAAACACATGATTTGTATTATTTATTGATTAGAACACGGTATGCGGAAGGTCTAGCATCAATCGAAAAAATGAAATGAAGCAGCATATGTGTTGGGTTCTTGGGTGCAGTGAAGGCCGTAACAGGCTAAAGAATACAAGCTCGGTATAAACAACACAACTGGTTTATTACAGTAATGGCGGCGTTCTGATTACGCAATGCAGATGACGTAATAAAGTACATGTCATTAAATACGACCCAAGCTCAATATACTACATCCCTCCCCATCTAAGTGAATCTCACTCTAGCAGTCTATATTGGGATTTAATATAAATGTTCTTTTCTGGATCAGTTCATTCTGCATGCACTTGTACTGAATACTGCAAAACTCAACTAAACTACAATGTGGGTGGCGCTAGGCTCACACCCTAGTGCAGGCTTTATTCTGGCCTATCATATGCACTGTTTCAAAATGTAACTAAACATACATATCATATTTATCTGGAAATTTCCTCTGACGACTAGATCTACGCACTTCTGGCACCGAGGCAGAAGTTTCTGAAGATTGTTCATTTATAGGATCTGTTGTCTCATCTTTCAATGTAGTAGATTTGTTGGTAGTTGGAGGTGATACATTCTCTACAAGTTCTTCCATTTTCAATGATGACAAATCCTGTTTAGGAACTGGCACTGATGGCGAGAT